ACATACATATATATTATATATATTAAAAAATGTTGAGGTTGTCTAGCTATTCTTTCCACAGCAGTTCTTTCCACAGCTGTGCGTATTTTTAATTTTTTAAAACTAGAACGGTCATTAATGAAAGACTGATTTTTAGAGCTGCTGAGCACCCACCCCTTTCCACTGTTTGAGTACATTAATGTTCACCACTTCTGAAATGCAGGCACAGAATTTCAAAGAACAAAGGCATTAAAAACATAAGAAGTAGTTTGTCAGTAGTTAATTTGAATTCATTATGACTTCTCCCAGATAGTAATTATTTTAAGTGTGTGTAAAATCAGGCTCTCATTCTATGTCTTTCAGGAATGTAACTGTTTACTCTAACATGTTTTCCTGCTTAAGAAGGGTTGACAGATCACCTATTCTGTGAATTTGAATTGAATGCTTCTTTGAACATTCCTTCTTTCTGATGAATTTTGCCATTCTAAATTCCATGTATAAAAAAAAGAAGGAGAACAACGATCATTCACACTGAAGAAGAGAGGAATGTCAAAGATGACAAAAGATTATTTGTCTTTTCAAAGGTAGAACAGAAATGTGGTGGTTTAAGTAGAAAGCTTACCCATTCCCTACCATGCCACACACCATTGCCTAGTGCAGGCTGTAGCTTGAGGTTTGGTTTTATTCAGAAAGGGCATACCAAAGCCAGCCCAATCTTTTCCCTCTTGGTTTGGCTGCTGCTGCAGTGCCTGTCCAAAGATGGCTGGGACCCCCTCTGTCTCTAGAGCTCCATTCCTACCTCCTGTCTGCAGGAGGGTGGTAGTTAGCCAACTGCAACAGTGTGTTAGCAGCCTCCACGTGCAGCTTCGACTGTCACCACTTGCTAACAGGCTGGGGAAACCTGCCAGCCTCTCCCCTTGGGGTTTCACTTCTTTTCTAGTCTATCCAAGCCCAAAAAAATATTCCAAAGATTGGGATTGCTTATAAAACATAGAAAAATTACTCAGCATACCTGTTACATGTTCATGCTTTGCAAGGAAGGGCGAATGTGAACCTTACAGAAATGTGACAGTTCACGTGAATGTTGTTTTGTGAAAACCTTTTGTTCTTTTTTCTGCACTCATAATTTAGGTCCCTCACATTCCTTTTTCTAGAAAGAATTTGTCTAGAACAGGAAAGATGATCGTCAAATTGTCTTCCACAAAACACATAGATTATTCTGGGTTTTTTTTAAAAATAATGTTCATTTCAACTGAATTAAATTTGATTTACTGACTGCAAGTTTCACTGCTCATTATATATTCCATTGGATCTGGAGATAGAATTTGTTATGCTGTGTCCTGAAGACAGTAACTTTAATGGGAACATGCCATGATGATTGCATAGGAAAGAGAGATTTCGATAAGGAAAATGTGGTATAATCTTATGTGAAATAATGCAGTTTTCATTTCAAAGATAATTCCCTTAATAAATGGTTTGTTAAGAGACATAGTGACCTTTACAAAAAGCTGTAAGGATATGGCTCTAGTTTCTACTTAAGTATTTGGTTGTCTTTTTGATCGATGAACTTGTGTGTAAATAGGAGTGAGATGTCTGTTTAGTATTGAAAAATTAGTCCTATATACTATTGCTCATTTTCTTAATGTTGGACTGCCTTTATCACGAGTGAAATACATAAAGACACGTGACACTTAAAATTGTTACATATGTGTGATCTTGCTTTACTTGCACAAGATTTTGATTATTCTCCAACTTTGTTTTCTCCTTCTTTATTTTTAAGGTCGCCAAGTTATCCTCCACCTGGCTGTGGTAAAAATAAATCAAAGCTCAAGTCAGAACAGGATGGCATCTCCAAAACTCACAAGCTACTGAGAAGGACTTGCTCTAGCACAGTGAAGGCAGAGGATATGTGTGCCACAAAATCTAATAGAACCTTTGGCCGCTCGTTGTCGAGTGACCCTAGGGCTGAACAGACAATGGCTATTAAATCGCACAAACTGTTGAATCGTTCTTGCTCTGCAGCCGTCAGGCAGGAGGAGTGCATCGCTTTAAAGCCCCATAAGCTATTAAGTAGGTCGTGTTCTGGGGATCCTAGATGTGAGCACAACAGCACCTTGAAGCCCCACAAACTTTTAAGCAGGTCCTACTCGAGTAATCTTAGAATGGAAGAATTGGATGGATTGAAGAATCACAAGTTACTCAGCAAGACTTACTCCAATGCCCCTAAGTCATCCAAAATGGAGCCTTTCAAGGAGTCCACCACAGCAGAGAGCAGGAGGCTCTCTCTTACCTCAGGGCTTATTGGTATCTTAACACCATCTTCATCATCACCTTCACAAGCTGCTGTGCGTAATAATTTTTTTATTCTGCTCATTTTCCTCCTATTATTTTCCAAATGTGCTGTTATGCTTGTTATGCAAAGGCATTAATACTTAGGACATATGTAAGTAAATATATTGGATATATTGAATATATTGGAAGATAGAGCAATGGAGTTAGCTTTTTAAGGAGGATTTAAACAACTGAACATGCACATATATTTAAGTTATAAAACTAGAATTTGCTTAGGTCAAGACAGAGATTTTACATGCCACATTGAATACAACTCAATATACCTGCTGGCCATGGAAAAAGTTCAATCACGCACTTGCTTCCATGCTTCCTTTCTTGCTGCAGGAAGAAGGGAGAGTGTGAGCTTCAGTGCTGCAAAATTGGCTTGGTCACACAGGTCTTTTCTTATTTCCCTGCGTGCTTTGTGGGGGAAGCAACTGTCCATTGGCTTGTTCAGGTGCCAAGTCACCTCTCCTTCTGGTCTTTGCATCTGTGATCGTCATCGTAGTGGAAAGAATGCATTCATGATTCAGCTCACCTCTTGCGAATTTGTGCTTTCTGAAAGGTTTAACCTTCAAACACACTGGTGGCAGCTGGAGGTCAGGGAAGGAATTAGGTCCACACTGGTCCACTTTCTTTCCGCAGAGACACAATCAATTGGGAAAGCAGACGGTAGCACATATTCTTAAATTTAGGAAAGAACATTCAAAATTAATTCTTCTGCCTCTTAAAAATGGCTTTTACACTTTAGAGGAAGGAGTGGGTCTGTTTGCATACTTTCAAGGCACCTGTCTGTTTTTTGTCTTAGATCTGGTGAGAGGCACTTAGGAGACAGTCCTCTCCATTTACTTGGCCTGGTGGTACCTTGATGTTCTTAGCAAGAAAAAGCTGATTCTTGCTTGAAATGCTGTATATATATTCAAAATAGCACACTCTGAAGAATGAAATTACATTGAGTGTGCTATGTCTTATGGTAAATTGGTTTAATAAGCTGTGAGCTATACTCATCAGATCTAAAGGCAGTGATATGCTATCATAACATCATTTATATACATGCTGTGTGGTTGGTTCCTGTAATGTGTGCAACAGTATTAATTTAAGGTGAGCCAACAGACATTTTACTTTTCACTGTTTAGAGATGCATTTTTTTCTCAATCAGCAGAGGATGTCTTAACATAGCAAGACTTTTCTCTCCTGAAGTTAATAGGAAAAGTCCCATTGATTTTGATAAGATAATGAAGAGTTGACTAAGTGGTTTCATTACTGATGTTATCAGCTGATATGGATTAAACGCAAGCCCTGCTTGGCAGTCTATAAAAACTACCAGTAATTTATTATTAGAGTGCATTTACTTTGAGGGAAAATCATCACATACATGGTCAGGTGCAGTTTGAATGAAGTTGGTGGAAGGGCATCAACAGTCCATTTCACATTTTACATGCAGGCACCTACATCTGGCTGCCTAGCTGCAATGTGAAGTCAGTGGAATGTGGAAGTGATGAATCTGGACCCTAACTTGTTTTCAGATCTTAGCTAAAGTATTTCAATCTCATATATGAATGCAATTAGGATTGTTTCCCAGGAGAAAAAAGTGAAAAGTTGCCCAATTAAGCAGTTAAAGAAATGAAAGGCAATAAGCCTATAATCAAAACTAAAAAAAGCTGTAAATGGAGGTGATCTGACTCTTATTCAAAACTAGGTTTGGTTGAGATAGAAGTCAGCCTAGAGGGAATTTGGTACCCTACTGACTCGGGTAGCAGAAGTTTCTTCTAATTTATGTTGCTGTGTGTTGAAAGGCAGAAAGAATTTGAGTGGGATCTGAGCACAGAGATCTGTTAGCATGGTGCTTACGGAAGTGAGATCTTAGTAAACAGAAAAGATTTTCAGCCATTCTGAGAGATACGTTAGTCTTTCAAGCCTACACAGATAGCCCATATTTGGGTAGACAATACACAGTTAAAATTTAATGGAAGTTACCAAATGCCAGCTTATTAGAATGGAATGAAGGCACTGGTGTTTCCATTTGAGATTAAAGTTTTTGGGATGCTGAGATATAAACCCTAATCAGATTTAAGAACTAAAAAGAAATGCTAAAAATCTACCCCATGCTCACTAAAAGGATTGATTATTTGTAATGTCTGGTTTATGCAAATGAGAGATCTTTTTAGGTGCAAATATTGTTTGCACACAAAAATACAAATGTTTTACCATTTCCTTATATTTAGTCTACCAACACTGAAGTTGCCTTAACTTTTTCCTTGCAGCAAAATTATGGTGCAAAATGCATTCCAGTACGAGACCGTGGCTTTCTTGTGCAGGTAGGATGTCATATCTTACCCATTTATGAAACACTGTGGAGCATGAGCTGACTGTTAATTATTTTTAAGCAGATGTTGTTATTCTCATTTTCATTGTTCTCAGACTATTGAATTTGCCGAGCAGCGGATACCAGTACTGAATGAATACTGTGTAGTTTGTGATGAACCCCATGTGTTCCAGAATGGTCCTATGCTAAGGGTAAGTGGATTGCTTGCTGGAATAAACAATGCATTTTATAATGCCTTAAATAGCAATGGACCATACAAACCTGTTGAATACAAAATTATCGAATTATTTCAGATGCGTTTTATCCTAATATCCTTTAGATGCAAAAATGTAATGCATATTAACTAGATTTTGCTGTAAATTTGAAAAAATTGTATTGCAAGCAAGGGAGATGGAAATCAGGCTTGTATAATATCAGAGAAACATAAGGGGGGGATGTACTTCACTGAACACTATTGTGCTACAGTAGTCACAACTGAATAAGGTAGAGGAAGCACATTAGAGTGCTTTCCTGGTCCTCTGGAAAAAAAACTTCTTTTAAAAACTTAGGGTCACCTCAGTCCTTGAGCTCTTATCAAGCCATGACCGGGGTATTCAGATACACTGCTGTTACTGCCACAAGGCTGTGAAGTTCTTCTGACCCTTGTTTGCTCATCAGCTGCTGGAGTGAGCCATCCTCCATGATGTGATAAAAAAAAGCAGGAGAAGGAGATGCTCTGTGAAGTGTCTGATCTAGCAGAGACCTAGTCCAGGGGCACTGTTGTGGTTCAGTGTGCCCAAAGTCCAGCCAGTTAGGCAGCTCTTCCTTCCTTCATTCCTGTATAACCAGCAACCAGGAGTTTGCCATGCTGAGTGTTGTACCCTCTTGTGCTGATGGTGAATGCATACAGTGAAAAAGAGTAAGAGTGGTCATGAGAGGCACAGTTTGCCTGGAGCTACTGGATCAGTGCAACTTTGTGAAAGAGTATATTAGAAGAATAAAATTCTTACCTTTAGGACTGATCTTGCAGTTTAGAATCTTTCTTGTTTCACCTGTCCTGAATCCTATGGAAACCTGAATAACTTTAAAAAAATTAAAGCCATGGAAACCTGTTTAATACTAGTGCATGAATGGTCTGACACCTGCCAATTTGTCTACAGTGTGACGAGCAACTACAGATAAATTGAAGCAGACATCATCTGTGATAGTTCCATGGAACTAAATTCATGAAGGTTATTGCTTACACAGTAGCAGAAGTCACCTCAGTGTCATCCCTCGTGACACTCTGGCACCATGGCCAGGCATTCTGACTGCAGGCAGGTTATGCAAATAGGCTGCTAATAGAATTTGCAATAACATCAACATATTCAGTTAGCACCATTTTTAAGGCATGGTTAAGCCTCTGTACTGTTGAAAATTCTATCAGGTATTTTTTTGCCTCTTCAAGATCATACCTACCTTTTAAAAACATAGTCTTCTATCAGCAACAAAACTCTGATTAGAAGACTGTAGAAAAAGCATCAATTCCTTGTTATTCATCTTTGAATGCACTGCTATGGATATTACCTGTGACAGGATGAGATAAGACAAAGTGAGTAATTTTTGGATAGTGAATAAAGTTTGGATAATTTAATTATTTAAATTATTGGGGTTTATCTGTTGTCCATAGGACAAAGCAAACAGTAGGATTTATTCCTGTTCACGCGATGAACTATTAAAAGCAAACAGAATGGAAAGTCATCTGCTCTAAATAAAAAAAACATTATTCTTCTTGCCTTCCTACCTTAGATATTAAAATCCCTCAGAATTACGTTTCTCTGTCTGCAGCTTAAAGAGGGGTCATTTTAGCTATCTGTTTGAGAGTTTGTCAGCGCTTCAAAACAGTGAAGTGCAAACATGTTTGCCACTGAACACATACTCATAAGTGCCTTTGCAAGCAGCATAGCCTAGCAAGCTTTGCAAAAAAGGAAAAGGTGTCCTTATATAACCCAGGGAGAAGGAGGTAGCGGGAAGAAATCTAGCATGCTCTGTGTATGCTTCAATGACTCAATAAGCAATATAGAGCTATTAATGAGTTTTCAGTTTTGTAGAAGGTGAGAAAGGATCTCAGTTTAAATCGAGAATGAGCTTACCAAAGGGTCTTAAGGAACTTTATGCTTCACTCTACTGAGAACTGTGGCAGTGGCAGCCTACAGTAGTCAATTGTAGAGTTTATTTACGTGCTTCAGCTGCGCGCATGCGTACACATACGTACATACATATATATATAATGTGTATAAAGAGAATAAAGAATGACCCAACTGAAAGAGAACTTTAATACTGCTGCAACAGTGGATCTCAGAAATACAGTACTTTGTTAAGCAAAATGCAGGGGTCTTTCATCTAAGGCAAGGCTACATGGAATTTAGCCTTAATGTGACTTAATGGATCCATTTTTAGTATCCATGGCCTTCATAAAGAGCTGTAGAGTGCTAATACTTTTGATACCACAGTAATTTCACCAGGTTTCATAATGAACAGAACCTTGTTACAGTCTGCTTTTATTTTTAGATTCTGTGTCCAGATCCCATTTTCTACAGATGTACATATCTCAAAGGCATTACTTAGATAGGCTCTATCTGTATTTGGTTGTATCACAAGAGATGCCACAGACTAAATATCCTTGGATGGCTCACCAGTCTCTTCCTTTAAAGAATAGTTCCTCCACATAGATGCGCACAGGGCTGTGTCTGGGTGTATGTACCCTTAATGATGAGTTTCCCTTCTGCCTTTTGCAGCTTTTTTCTAACAAAGGTGGCATATGAATTTATAAAAGCATAGCAAAGTTATTGCTTGAGAAGTTATTTAAAAATGCATTTAGGCTTGATTTTCTGGTATTTAATGGAGTTTGATGCAATTGCAAAGCAGCCAGTAAGGAATTTGATTCTGTAATTCTCCAGTATGTCAGAACTTTCCTGAACTATAGTGTAGTTTAATTAATTGTCCCGAAATGCAGCTTAAAAAATTCAGCAATTGCCATCACACAATAATTACTTTATTTGAATACTGTTAACTCTTATACCTGGGTGTAATTTTTTGTGCTGGTTATTAATGATTTGCATAATTCAACTGTCTCGTCCTCAGGACAGCTGAAGATACCAAGTGAAACTGAGAGATAAAGTTTTTCCTTTCTGCACATTTTCTCTACAGGCTATGATTTTATCTTAGTTATAAAGCATCTTTAAATCAGTCTCTCTCAGCACAAGCTTTCTTCTTCAGTATTGTGTTTCTTTTTCCTAGATAACTTTTTCTGGGGGCTGTTCTGGTTTTAATATCTATTTAAATTTACTTTGCTTTCTTAAAATCTTGACATCTTCTTTCCCATAAGAGCAATTTGATGACAAGATGTGTCTTTTTATATAGCTTAATTTAAACACTAGATCCACATGGCAGACATACCATTGTGTGGAATATGTCTGTTGCAGAACAATTGCATGTGTTTGGCTTTATGCTTTTACAAGGGACACCTGTCTTGCTCTAGAGCCCACTGTACCAATCTAATGATACAAATGTTCCCTGCTGGTTCAGGGATCCTGTTGCACACAGGAATCTTTGGATGTTGTTAGGCTAAGTCACTTATTGAGGATAGATAAAGATGCTACCTTAGTGACTTATTGAAGATGAATAAGAACAAAATTCTTAGATTTCTCTTGGGAATTTCTTTATGGAGCAAAGTATAGATCTTTCAGAGCAACCAGTTTTCTTTTGAGCTCCAAAAGTTCCTTGAAATACAGAAGACCAGAATTACAGATACAGTTCCTTTGTGTACTCCACAGATGCGTGTGTAGATAAAAACACAGTATGTAGATGGGGTAACTTCAAAACACTCACAAACCTAATGCTCTCACAAGGAACTGCAGCTGTTATTACTGTGAAGGGAAGGGACAAAGGTTCTCTGGAATGTAAGAAGGAGTCTTAGAAAAGTACTATAATGCATCATGAAACTGTAACATTCTTTTTTATAAAGGCCCATGGTCCATTGGTTCATTCCATCCCCTTTTTTAAAAAAATGGTAAAGTAGGCAATGCTTTCCTGTAGGTATTCACACCTTTCCCATATAAGGATGAATGTTATTTTTCATAATAGCATGTTTCTTTAGTATTTATTTTGAGAGCACAGTGAGATTTAATGATAATTTACAGTGCACTCAAAGTTATAAAAGCTAAATTGATGTTTAGAGATACATACTTACACAGAATGCCACTGAAAACTGCAAATTCCCTGAAATCGCTGCATGGCATGATTTACAGTCTTTCTTCAAAGCATAGGGAAAATTCAATGAATACATGAATCCTAAGAAGATGAAGTATTATTTAACCTCTTGCATAACATAGACCATACTATTTCATGCAGTTATTCATAGCAGTGATCTGAATCCTACATATTTCACTCTTCATAGAAAGATTAAGAAACAGCTTTAAAATCATTAGTGAGGGTTGGGATTGCAGCCTTTACATCCTAACAGCTCCCTTATCTCATGTAAAGAATCACAGTGCATCCTCCTGCAAGGCAACCTGTGCTGCACAGCTCTCGGGAGCTCTGGCATCAGTCTCTTCTGAAGTAGCTCTTTGCTCAGCTTTGAAAAACAGTGGGAAGTACAAGGTCAGACACAGGTGTGTGCTGAGGAGAGATGGATCAGGCAGACCTGGTAAACCTACTGAAAATAGTAACAGTCTGCTCATTTGAATCGTTACCCTCCTGTTACTGTCTTTGAATTTGTTCTCAACAGAGTTCTTTAGATGAGTGAGACATGGACTATGATTTGTTTATAATTAATGGCTACATTTGAATTGTTTCAGAAAATAATTTGAAATGCTTTTTTTCTGATATTTTAAACAGTTGGTCTATCATTCACCTATGTGTTGTTAAAGTAGTTAAATATATTATCCTGATTTCTGTCAAGTGACTATATTGAACTAAATATTAGAAGTAAACTTAGGAAATTTTAATGACTTCTGCAAAGCCCATTCTGAAGTATTGAGATACTCTCCCATGGGGCATATGTCTCTAGTGAAAAGCCCCTGAAACTGGAGTTTGATTCATCCACTGGCTTTCACTGGCTTTTGAAAATCTCCAAGGATGGAGACTCCAGAACCTGTCTGGGCAACCTGTTTCAGTGCTTGATAAAGCTTTAGAGAAAGCTTTAATTTTAGCTTTATCTAAAACTTTAGAT